CTTTAAATGTGTCCAGAAGCATAAACCAAAGATAAAAACCCAAAAACCATTTGGTTAAAATCAATGCCAATAACCAATGCCGAAAACCGAACGCCATAGCCGAACGCCGATAACCGATGGTTATGGTTTTGGTTAAGAAAGAACCATGGGTTTTAGAAACTTAAAAACCATTTATGAAAACATTAATTTGATGCATGAAAAATATATTTTGTTTTGAGCCATGACGTAGAGAAATTGAATGAGCTTGTTACAACAAAAACCTTAAGTCTTTAGAATACGTCTTCAAAGCGCCAATGTCGCCATCTTTAGCAACGTCAATGCCGTTCTTGTGCTTTTTGTTTCTTCAAAGAACTTTTTCTATCTTTTCATTTTGTTCCATGTTCCCGACGGTTTGTCAATATCAAAACCTAAACGGAAACAAACATTGTCATTAGCTAAATGTCAAAGTGAAAATGTTTTCCAACAAAGCAGACTATGGAAAAGTCCCATCAGTAGCCTGGGAAGATGTTTGTAAACCTAAGAAGGAAGGAGGACTGGGGATCAAGAACTTGGTGAACTGGAATAAAGCATGTGGCCAGGGACTCCTATGGGACATAGCACAAAAGAAAGACATTCTCTAGGTCAAATGGATCCATAACAAATATCTTAAAAGAAATTCAATATGGGACATCTCACCCAAATCTGGAATGTGTTTCTACCTGAGGAAAATTTTACTCAATAGAGATAGTTTTGCTTGGATGCACAGCCTAGAGAGTTATGAAGTTCAGAAAGGGTATGATTGGTTACGGGGTGAAGGCACAGAGTTCCAAGCATATCCCGTAGTCTGGAATAAACTGAATATGCCTAAACACCAATTTCTGATGTGGCTTGCTTGGAGAAATAGAATCAGCACTAAGGTCAGGCTAAAGAGATTCATGGAGATAGACACTGTCTGTGTGTTATGTCACAAGGGGGATGAAGATAAAGAACACCTGTTTTATAAATGTGATTATACTAAAGAAATAATGGATGACATAGGCCACTGGTTAAAGTTTAGATGGAAGGCTGCCAGTGATGGGGAACTGCAAGAAGAATTCAAAAGAGTTAAAGGGAGGAGAAGGAGACAGACTATTATGGCTGGATTTGCTGCCATCTGCTATGCAGTTTGGAGAGCACGAAATCTCAAGATCCATCAACAAAGAAGTGTTGCTGTTGGGGAAAGCAAGGAATGGATCAAAATTCATCTAAAATCCTTTATTAATTTTAAGCTCAGGAGAATGTATTTGTGTTAGATTTTGTATGTTTTGGTGGTTTTATTCTCAACTTGTTGATGTACTGATGAAGTGTGTTTGAGGTGAATAAAGTTGTGCTTTTGTTCAAAAAAAATAATCACTAAACAAAACTTTTGGAAAATGCCTATTTTCGCAAATAAATAAAAGGTGAGATTATTTTAGGTAAAATCATTTTTTTTGTTCTTTAATTTAAAAAGTAAAATTTAAGTTTTTAAAAATGCAACAATATACTCTTCTTAATGATTTGTCTCAATTTTTTTAAAATATATGACAGTTTAAAAAATTTATATTCATTTTTGGGGGAAATATAATACTTCGTAGTGGGTAGGAAATATAATATTCCGTAGTGGATAATCAAAAACTAATTTAGAGTATCGCTTGAAAAATATACAATATAAAAAAGTTGTAGTGAGTTATAAAAATAATTGGTGTCAATCTGGAAAAAAACTTGTGCCAATTTCACAACTTTTGAATTGTAATTTCGCAAAAAAAAAAATTGTATTGAATTGTCGAAAAAAATTGCATGTCTTGTAGTGTCAATTTGGAAAAAATAATATGGGTAATAGATGATTATTGATAAACATTTCGGAGTGTTCATAAAAGAATTTAGTGAGTCATAAAAATAATAGTTCCATAATAGTGCGTGCCATTTTTTTAAAAAAATGCGGACTAACAGTATAGTATCAAAAAATAATTTGAAATTTCTCTCAAGAAAATAATCGCAGCTTACAAAAAGGTATAGTGAGTTGTGGAGTAAATAAATTAGTTCCATTTTGTAGAATAATTTATTGTATAATTTCACAATTTTTGTAATATTATTTGGGAAAATACAATTATTACAAGATTATGGATAATTGAAAAAAAAGATAAGTGTCACTTTGTAAAAAATACTTAAATTTAGTATTATTTATAAAAACATTTTTAAAAAATACATTTATATTAAAATTTAAAATTTAAAAAAAAAAAAGAAAAAAAGAATTTACCTAAAATAATCTCACTTTTCATTCATTTTTGAAAACAAGAATTTTCTAAAAGTTCCATTTAGTTACCATTAACATGCTAACGGCGGTCCAAAACTCACACAAATGAAAAACGGTGAGAGTATGCGTTATTCGTAACAATGAAAAGTGAATTATTTTTGGAAGAACGTGGAAAGGTATGAATATTTTTGAAAGAACGTGAAAATGTGTGATTATTTGAGATAACCCTTACCCTTAATTAGGTGGAAAAGATAAATTATACAAGTACTCCATACCAAATACAACCTTCAATTCATTTTAAAATGCGGAACCACTTTCTGCTCATTTTCAAATTTCCAGGCCTCAAAACGAGTAGACAATTTTGCGTTTAGGCATCTCATTGTTGTTTCAAAAATTCCCGCTCAAATGTTGCTGTGAGTAGAAAGAAATTCCTTTCTTAGTTCTATCACTAAAACGTACAGAAACACGCAATTTTAAGCTTAGTCGAAGATTTGAAGTGATTTTTGCTTCAGAAGAAGTGAGTTTCTGATGGATTAGTCGTAAGCGAGGAGATGGAATCGCTTACGGTTGACGACGAGTTGAAGACCGGTGTGAATCGGTCTGGATCTAGAGTTCCGAGGCTTTTTATTAAAGAGATGGTGATGAGAAATTTCAAATCCTATGCCGGTGAGCAGCGCGTTGGCCCCTTTCATAAGGTTAGGGTTTACTGGAAATTCGAATTCCCGAGATATAAAATCTGTTTGCTTGTTCTAATAGTTAGAAATTACACTTTTGCAGAGTTTCACGGCAGTAGTTGGTCCCAATGGAAGCGGGAAGAGTAACGTAATTGATGCCATGTTGTTTGTGTTTGGAAAGCGAGCCAAACAAGTAAAAAGAAATCCATTCACTTGTTTAGTTGATTTTTTTTCATATGCTATCCGTTTCATTTGTGGTTATTTGGAAATTAATGATAAATTGACAGAAGATATGTGCAGTATATATGGGTATTTAAAATCTAGTCTTTCATGGGTGTTAAATAAATACATGAAATTTCTGGATTTAGTGATTTACTTGTTGCTAGATTTTGTTGCTTTTTCCATATTTTTTTTGCCCGTAATTTTAGTGTTCAAATTTGCAACTTCATTATATTTGTGCAGATGCGGCTTAATAAAGTATCAGAGCTCATTCACAATTCAACCAATCACCAGAATTTGGAAAGTGCTGGTGTATCTGTTCACTTTCAGGAAATTATTGATTTGGTATGTTAGTTATATCCTCTCTGCTAATGAAATTGATTTCGGGACACTAACTTTTTATTAACTTGATGCTTCTCTTAATAGGATGATGGGGCATTTGAAGCAGTACCTGAAAGTGATTTTATAATAACTCGTGTTGCTTTTAGAGACAATTCTTCCAAATACTACATCAATGATAGACTTAGTAATTTTACCGAGGTCACAAAGAAATTGAAAGGGAAAGGAGTTGACTTGGATAACAATCGTTTTTTAATTCTTCAGGTTTGGCTTTCTTTATTTTTTCCACAAAATGTAGTCCAATCAATTTTTATCAGATTCTAAATTAAAAATAGAAGTTTTGAAATCATCAGGGTGAGGTTGAGCAGATATCCTTGATGAAGCCAAAAGCACAAGGAACTCATGATGAAGGCTTTCTTGAGTACCTAGAGGATATCATTGGAACTAACAAATATGTCGAGAAGATTGATGAATCATTTAAGCAGTAAGTTCTGTTACTTCATCCCAATGGATTTGCACAGTTGATCCATTGTCTGTTGAGTTCTATGAACTATTTATATCAGGAAATGAAGGCACAATCGTTTTTCCTTTAGCTTGCCTCTTGTTACAACTTTAACTCTCTAAGATGGAAAATGCTTTTGGTATGGTCTTACTTAAGGGTAGAATCCGGCCTGTCTGGGTCAAATTTTTGTTGGGACCGGAAAAACTCTAAAAGCTTGGGCTCTATAATTTTTGGATCGTAAGAAGGCCCAATGTCTTCAGGCCGGGCTGGGTTTTGAATATACTAAGTTGGGGCGGGTTCAGTTCCGACCGGTTTGAACCCGAAGAAAATCTATATGGAGTATTTTTAAGTTTTGATTTTTTTTGGAAAATTAATCATGTTCCATTTCACATTAGTCTCTTTACAAATATAAATTTAAAATAATCTTTTGTGTAATACAACAACAAACTCAATAGTATCCCACAAAAAGTAGGGTCAGAAAGGGCGTGTGTACATAGATAGCAAGTAAAATATATTTCGGAACTAAAAACATACAATAATGTTCAAACAATTGAAAAATGTAAGAAGTTGACATTATGAATATTTTTGAAGAAAGTTTAACTTTATTTATTGTATACTCCCTCCGTGGCTCCGTCCACTTTCCCAGTTTGACTTTCATGGTCAATGTTTTTAAACTTTGACTACAAGTGTGATATAAATTTAATATCAATAAGTTCATTTTGAAATATACTTTTCAAACATCATATTATTTTAAATATATATCCATCTATAAATAAAGATATTGATGGCCAAAGTGTTGTGTTGAAGACCTCGAAAAGTCAAACAAGAAGATTCAAAGTGGACGGAGGGAGTACAAAATAACATGATAGATATGTTCTAATGTTATAATTAAATTTTTGAGGTGACATAGTATTAGTTAGGGCAAGTCCGAGTTGTTGCCAAGACCAGAAAAGGCATGAAAGTATTCGGGTTCTTTGTTTTTAAGAGTGGAAGAGGGCCTGGTATTTAGGCCGGTCTGGGTTATGTGCATTTTCAGTTTGGTCCAGGCCGATTGCTGGGCTTCGCTGGGTTATCCCACCTCTAATCATAGTGTATGCATTTTTTGATTTATGCCTTTAATTTTCCGGATTCCAATCACTGTTAATCTTTTAAGAATTCATATTACCATGCCGCACACTTGATGCTAGAATGTCATCAGTGATTTCATTGTCATGAATGTACATCGTAATAAAGTATTCTGTATGATATATTATTATTCAGTGTATGCATGAGATTTGACTTAAGCCTGTGTTTGTGTCTTTACATTTCTTATAGACTCGAATCCCTCAATGAAAGGAGGACTGGGGTTGTTCAAATGGTGAAGCTGGCTGAGAAAGAAAGAGATAGCCTGGAGGTTTTGTTTCACACTTTTACCCCAACAGTGGCCTGTCTTCTTCAAGTGATGTTAAAATAAATTAATTTTTGCTGCTCAATCTATCAGGGTGTAAAGAATGAAGCTGAAGCCTACATGCTCAAAGAATTATCCCTGCTAAAATGGAAAGAGAAAGCAACAAAGTTAGCTTTTGAAGACAATTCAGCTAAGCTTGTTGACCTACAGGCAAACATTTCTACTACAGAAGAGAATCTGAAAAACGAAAGGTGTTTTATCTGTTCCCAATTCCCCAAATGTGTCTTGCTTTGTTTTGGTTGCAATTGATTCTGGAAAAAGTATGTTGCAGGGAGAAAATTCAAGAAAGCAGCAAAACGTTGAAGGAGCTTGAGGGACTTCATATGAAGTGTCTGAAAAGACACGAGGTTTGGGTTCATCTTTCTACTGAACTTTGGCTGGTGATATATTGATTTAGGACCACAACCATAGATTTCACTGCTGTCACAACATCATTTGGTTAGTTTTCCTTAACTATTTCTTTACAAAGCAGGAACTTGGCAATAGCTTGGCATGTTGCAAAGATGAGTTCAAGGAATTTGAAAGGCAAGATGTGAAGTACCGTGAGGATTTGAAGCATTTGAAAGAGAAGATGAAGAAGCTTGATGTTAAACTCGATAAGGTTCAGAAAAAAATGGACATTGCCTATAATACTATGTGAAGAAGTATATGTTATGACTTTATAGTAAATGCCGGAATATTTGTTGTATTTGGTTCAAGGATTCAGCAAAAATTGATGATATCACAAAGAAGTGTGAAGAGTCTACTGATTTGATTCCACGGCTGGAGGAAGATATTCCAAAGCTGCAGAAGATTTTAGTAGATGAGGAAAAAATCCTAGAGGAAATCAAAGAGAACTCTAAAGGTAGAGTATTGTAATTTATGTCTGTTGAAAAAGGCTTAAAGGTTATTTAATAATTGCTTGATGGTATTAGATAGTTTGATGCCTTACCAAACAAAATGCTTTGTAGTCCTCTCACCTCTGTCACCAATTATTCTCTTTGATCAAAACAATCGTTTCTTGCTGTAGTAAATATTAATATCTTGTACGGTCTAATGAGGCTGAAATGACAGTTCTGCTGAACTATTCAAAAGCATTCATTTCCATGCTAAGCAATTAACATAAAGATGTGGGTGAACTGATTATCAATTGGTATTTATATTATCTAATGTTTAAACAATAGCTGAAACAAAGGCTCTCAGAAGTGAACTTGCTGATGTTCGAGCTGAACTAGAACCATGGGAGAAGCAGTTGATTGAGCACAGAGGAAAACTTGAAGTTGCATCTACTGAAGTGAAACTTCTATCTGAAAAGGTAAGCCCATAGATGCTTGTTGTTATAACATCAAATAAACTTGGTCTACCTTTTGTTCATTGATTGTCGACTTTGAACTTATGTTTTTTGTTGTCCATAACTGCTATAATTTTTAATGCCTAAAGAAAATTTAGTGCACTTACATATACTGTCTAGATGTAAGTGAATTCTTCAAAAGAATATTCTTGTACTTCTAGCATTACTATTTTGAGTGAGAATGTTGTTATTTACTGATCATGCTTGCCTACTTCACTATATGCCATAGTTTCTCCATCATGTTGGAATTTCTTAATTTCTTGATATGCTTTGTTTCATTTGTTTGTGATGTGACTTATCTAGTTAGATATCTAAACGCTAATTTTGACTGCTTGCAGCATGAGTCTGGCCATGCTGCTTATGAGGATGCTCAGAATCAGATGACAGAAATAGAACAGAGAATTCAGAATAAAGGTGCAAGCATAAATAATTTAATGAGTGAGCTTGAAAAGAACAAGATTGAAAAATCAGAAACCCAAAAGATGGAAAATGTATGTGCTCTGTTTTTTAGCTTGTAAAATTTCATGTCCTAAGGCATTTTTCTTTGGTAATTGTACATGGTGACAAATTTGAACAAATGCAGGAACTCAACATAGAAGAACAAAAGCTAATTCCTCTTGAAAAAGCTGCCAGATCTAAGCTCTCAGAGCTTGTCTCTGTAATGGAGTCTGAGAAGAGTCAAGGATCAGTTTTGAAAGCTTTACTACACGCGAAAGTGGAAAATCTCATTCCGGGAATATATGGTCGTATGGGGGATTTAGGTGCTATTGATGGTGAGTGCCTTATATGTTCTGTTTCGTGTACTAGCTCACTTTTTATTAATTATTTGTCCTTTTCGACTGAAGAACATTGCCTGTTAATTCCATCCAGGTATCTTATGTAGTTATGTTTGTTTGAATGTTACCTAGTGTTTCTCTAAGGACTTATGAGCAAGTAGTTGTCCTTTAAATATTTGATACTTGTAAGTTACTTATTAACAAGAATTATCCAATCCTACTGCAGTGTTGATGCCTAATTGTTTTACACGAGTACTATTCACAGTATTATACAGTAATATTTAACTCAGAAGAATGGAAACTTTGCAGAGCTCTGTTCTCGCCATATTGAAAGCACTGAATGTGTCAGTAAACTTAGAAACATCAAATTAGTGATTCTGTAGTTTGAATTAAATTGGGAAATCCATTATTTAGTGTTTTGCATCTCCAGATGCAAAACTCAAACTTTCAGAATTAAGTACTCCCTCCGTCCCCAATTTGATTACAAATTGCGGGTTATGGAGTAAAATTTCCTACTTTTTGAAATCATTTTATTTACAAATTGGTATATCAATAAAGTATAAAAATTACATATTAAAAAACTACGTCAAAAGTTCTACAAAACAAGAGGTGACAAGAATATTTTATTTTATCAAATACTTGATGAAATCGCGTAAACAAACAAAAGTTATCGAGAGGAAAGAGAAAAAAAGATTGTAATCTATTTAGGGACGGAGGGAGTATATCAAAACACCGTTTGCAATTAGCATTAGGGTTATGAATAGTTTGTTAATGATGCAGATTAATGTTGCAAAGGCTAAAGCTAAAAGCTTCCTTTGGATATAATTTCCAAAATGCTAAATCTAAACTCTTATTCTGAATTTCTTATACTAAACAGACTACTTTTTTCATTGATTTGTTGTGTGACTCGTGCATCCTCTGTGACTGCTTCAAAGCAACATAGCCTTTGCAATTACATTGTACTTTAGGTCTCCTCAGAGGCAATAAGTCTCCTACCCTTTCTTTCTTGCTCTTGAAATTTCTGCAGCATTTCTGCTTCATAGGCCATAGTTGGAAGTCTCCTCCCTAAATATACACACATGCTTGCATGTTGCATATTATATTTGCGTGTTACTCACACGGTTCCTTTCCTTTATTTTTAAAAGCAGTTTCCCACTCTTTGTGTTTCCCATATTTTGTCTCCATGCTATTTAGTGCAAAGTTACTTTCTCATTCCAATATATATCAACTGCTTTAGCTTTTAATGCAATATTTCTCCTCAGTGGCTTTCTAATATGTTGTTGCTAACTAGTATTTGCACTTTTCTTGTTTGGGGTAATTTTGTAAATTATGTCACTTATGTGTGTCAATGCGTCATATCTATGAATGCCTGTGTACATGCATATATTAATGTGTTTGCTTTACATTTTGGGTTTTGACAGAAAAGTATGATGTTGCAATATCAACAGCATGTCCTGGACTCGATTATATCGTAGTGGAGACAACTGCAGCAGCGCAGTCATGTGTCGAGCTATTACGCAATAAAAATCTTGGTGTTGCTACTTTTATGATTCTGGTAGTTGTCCATTTTGAAAAACAATAGTAGAATTATATTTGCAGATGCTAGGTTTCATACATGATGAATATTTATTATCACAGTTATTTTGTTTCCTTTAAATGTTCAACAAAATTTTGCAACTTAGTTCCATACTTAAGATTGTGTTGCATGTGATACTGTGAAAAAGTCTTCAAAATTTCACTCAGCATGATAATGAACACTAAAGAAGTATATATAACGGTCCATTAAAATAGTATCGATAATTTTAACTGCATTTGAGAGAGCAGATACTCCGATAGCACTGACTTTTGACTCTACATGCGATTGTTTTAATAATCAAACTAGGTGTAAAAAATCTTTTGCTGGTAGTTTTAATTCAATGGTAGTTTATAATATAAAACAGACAAATGATGAATTTAAATGATAGTTAAACACAATTGGCTAGTTGGGAGGAATATAAATAGCCCCTAGCATCATTGCATTGGAGGTGCATACTAGCTATTCAACTAGTTTAATTTGAACCAAGGAGGCAGGGGCTGTGGCTCAAGTGGGTATGGTACTAGAGTTTGAATCCTCCCAAATGGCGAGGTGTGGTTACACCATGATGGTGAGTACAAGAGCATGTCTACCCTCGGTTGTATAGCACATTGCCGGCTCCTTGTGTTTGTGAGGCATCTCTTCTCAACCTAAACCATCTAAAAAAATTTAGTTCAGTTTGACCAAATATGCAAATTGCTAGTTGCATTGGAGATGCTCTTAAGTGTGGTTCTTAGTTTTGGAAATATTTCTTTTGCAGGAGAAGCAGGTTGATCATTTACGCAAAATAAAAGAGACAACAACTACACCTGAAGGAGTTCCACGGTTGTTTGATCTAGTTAAGGTTCAAGATGAAAAATTGAAGCTTGCTTTTTTTGCAGCATTGGGGAATACAGTTGTTGCTAAAGACATAGATCAGGTAGCATTCACTTTCGCTCTTTCATTTTGATAAAATGATCTCTCTAGCTGTATCTTTGCTGTTCATGATTTATTCTTGTAAAGGTTCAGTTTTCTCTTTATCTCATGTATAGATGATATCTTTGAAAAGAAATGATAGCCATCACTTGTGTTTGCCTCTTGATCTATAGGCAACTCGAATTGCATATGGAGGAAACAAAGAATATAGACGTGTTGTAACACTTGATGGTGCCCTTTTTGAAAAGTCTGGGACTATGAGTGGTGGAGGATGTAAGCCACGTGGTGGTAAGATGGGATCATCAATTCGACCTGCCAGTGTTTCTGGAGAAGCTATTTCTAATGCCGAAGATGAGCTTTCAAAGTTATGTGAAAGGTTGAGGGATGTCAGACAAAGGATTTCTGAAGCGGTGACACGTTACAGGTCCTTGGACGAAGCAAAATCTCACATGGAGATGGAATTAGCCAAAAGCCAGAAGGAGGTGTCCTTTAAAACCCTTTTATTTTTATATAAATATATTCTAGTGGGACCTTGCTGATCTAAAATTTGGTTTTTGAATTAGATTGACAGCTTGAAATCACAACAAAGCGATTTGACAAAACAAATGGATTCCTTAAAGAGAGCATCAAATCCAAGCAAAGTTGAAGTTGATAGGCTGAAGGAGCTTAGGAGCATCACAACAGGAGAAGAAGAAGAAATCAATAGGCTTATACAAGGATCAAAACAACTGAAAGACAAGGTTAGGACCGTTAGGTTTATTCTTTTTGCATATTTTTTTTCACTTCTGGATTTTGTAGTTAGCTAAGCTCTGTCTGTTCCTTATTTTTTCTGTGTAAGGCTTCAGTTACATTTGAAATTATCCATCTTGTAGGCTTCAGAACTTCAGAAAAAAATAGAGAATGCTGGTGGTATGCAGCTTAAAAATCAGAAGGAGAAGGTTAACAAAATTCAGTTGGTAAGAATCAAGTGGAAATAAGTTCACATTTGGTTGGAATTATTAACTATCTCCAATTATTATATTTCTTCTTTTTTCTTCAATTCACACTCAAAGCTTGTTCTCTTCAACTTATCCTTATTACTTATTACTTATCTTAGAATCAGACCAGACTATCATATCAGAAACAACTTTAAAATTTAAATATAACTACAATTAGATCAGACCACACAAGATCTCATCTAATCAGATCATACGAAGAGAACAAGCTCTCAGTGCCTGTGAATTTCACGCGTCTTCAATTACTAATGTGGCTTATATCAGGACATTGACATTAAAAGAACTGAAATCAATCGCTGCAAAGTTCAAATAGAAACAGGTCAGAAAACGTTAAAAAAGCTAGTCAAGGGGATAGAAGAATCTAAGAAAGAGAAGGAAAGACTGACTGAAGAGAAGGAAAAATTGCTTTGTATGTTCAAAGAGATTGAGCAGAAGGCTTTTACAGTTCAGGAAAACTATAAGAGAACACAGGAGGTTGGTGAATTACTTTTTGTTTGTTTTTAAATCATGTATTATCTACTTTAGTAAGTTATTCTTTCATTTTCTTGTACAGCTCATCGATCAGCATAAAGATGTTTTAAATAAAGCAAAATCAGATTATGACAGCCTTAAGAAGACCATGGATGAGTTACGGGCATCAGAGGTCTCATGCAGCTGAGCCCTTTGTTCTCTGCTTAGTTTTTGTAAAGAGGCCATTCCAATATTCCATAACATTGTTCAACTAAATGGTGGTGCAGGTTGATGCTGATTACAAGCTGCAAGATATGAAAAAAGTGTACAAAGAGTTGGAACAGAAGGGGAGTGGTTATGAGAAAAAGCTTGGTGAATTAGGAACTGCTCTATCAAAACATTTGGATCAGTAAGGCCTCATTCTCCCACAACCAGATGCACACAGGCCCTTCGATCCCATTTAGTCATACTACTATTAAACACGTTTCTTTCTTTGAACCAGGATTCAGTTCGACATGGTGGACCAGGAAAAGCTTCAGGCAGCCCTGACTGATGAAACTCTTTCAGGAAATTGTATCCTTAAACGGGCTCTTGAAACTGTTTCACTTCTTGAAGCTCAATTACAAGAGATGAATCCAAATCTCGAATCAATTTCAGAGTATGATTTTCGTGTTTCATAAAATTATAAAAATGTGCCCTTTCTTGTGCTAAGAGCTTTTGCCCTTGCTAGGTATCGAAAGAAAGTGTCTCTGTACAATGAAAGAGTAGAAGAACTAAATTCTGTAACCAAGGGCCGTGATGATTTAAAAAGACAATATGATGAATGGAGAAAAAGAAGGTAAAATCCACCCAATCTACTTATTGGACTGCTAAGTTTATCTTTGGTTATGTTTATGCTGATAAAAGATTATCTATGCCACTATTTTCAGATTTGATGAATTTATGGTGGGCTTTAATACAATATCTTTGAAGCTTAAAGAAATGTATCAGGTTGTATTACTTGAAGTGAACTAATCTTGTAAAACTAATTTCTGTTGTATTCCCAGGTCAACTATGTGTAAAATTTGTCATAGGACGTTGTAGGTGTGTCTGCCATTACTCCTTAGCTTAAGCTTAACCTCAACCAGTTGCAAATCTGTTATAGGACGTATATGCTAAGGGTTTTTACTTTTTTTTAACTATTAGTCTATTACTGTATTATCTAACAAATTAAGTCTATTCACAATATCAAGTTCAACATTTTCAAGCAGCTTGAAATAATTATAGCTGTTTAGTCCTCTTTCAGATGATTACGCTTGGAGGTGATGCAGAACTCGAGCTGGTGGATTCTCTAGATCCTTTTTCGGAAGGTGTTGTTTTCAGTGTTAGACCACCCAAGAAAAGCTGGAAAAATATTGCAAACTTATCTGGTGGCGAAAAGGTACACACTACACACACTGGGAGCGTAACCTCACATGCCTACATTGCTTAGTGTTGGTATTATCATTTGAATGTATCATACCATCTAAAGGCAGAGCCTCTAATATAATTTTATTAATCTCAGACGCTCAGCTCTCTAGCTCTGGTTTTTGCCCTCCACCACTACAAACCCACCCCTCTTTATGTGATGGATGAGATTGATGCTGCTTTGGGTAGGCCTTTTTTTCAATGTCAGCTTGTTAATATCCTTCATCATTCCAATGGTCAGTTTTTATTGAATTTTGTAAAGGAACCAACTCCATTTTTATATATTCTAAAAACACGCCCCTTGACGTGCAAGAGTGACTTCTTTGAGCTTTGCATGTGAAACCTTAATTTTTTAAAAAAAATTGGGTGGCGGTGAGTTTCGAACTCGCGACCTCTTGGTTATCAAGGCTCCGATACCACGTCAATGAACCAACTCAACGAAAAGCTCAAGATTATAGTTGTGGCCCGGGAAATGTTTTTATATATTCTAACACATTCTCTGCTTCCCATATACCAGATTTCAAAAATGTCTCTATTGTGGGGCACTACGTGAAAGACCGCACCAAGGACGCACAGTTCATCATTATAAGGTATTCCTAACAAAACATGGTTGTGAAATTGGATTGGAATTTGGCTCTAAAGTTATTTCTCAAATCACTGCAGCCTTAGAAACAACATGTTTGAATTGGCTGATCGACTTGTTGGAATATATAAGACTGATAATTGCACCAAGAGTATTGCAATAAACCCGGGAAGCTTTGTTGTTAGTCAGAAAGCGGCTTAAGGTTTTTTAGAGATGGAAAGCTGACAGGTGAAGATAGATTCAGGAAGCATGTAAATTATCTGTTTTTTTTTTGTCGAATGTTTGGCTATGTATGTTTCATTATTATTACAATATTTGCCCGCCAAACATTGGTAAAACATTGATGTGTGTTTCTATTACTATATGGTAAAACGAAATTTGATACTTTTGACTGTATATAATCTACCGCAAAAATTATTTCGGTGCACCCTTAATTTTATGGTAATAACTCCCAAGTCCATAATATACTCTGAGGCTTTTTTGATTTTATGGCAAGAACTCTCAGGTTTGACATTCTCCTATGTATATTTTGGAAGTCCTTAAAATTACTCGTTATGTACTTTAAAGATATATTTCGTCTATTTAGCTCTTACGATTAAAGTTCCAGTTCTTTGACAAATACTAAATTATATCTTGATAATAATTATTTTATTAAATTTAAATAAAATCTTAGGTCTACATTATGTTAAATATGCCTCGGGGTACCCTTGACTTTATGATAAGAATTCCAGGTTCTATATTATTTAAAATATACTCAAAAGGTCCTTAAAATTTGTGATGATTTACACCAGGGGTTTGTCTAATTGGCCGTTATGAATGAAAGTCCTTTTACTTTGACAAATACTTCCTTCGTCCCAAATTATAATGCCTATAACTATTCACATAGTCAAACTTCATTCACTTTCTTTCTCTATTTTTGTTAGCAATTTTATAAAATAAAATACTATTGTCACTACTAGTTTTGTAGATCTTTTGATGTAGTTTTTTAATATGTAATTTTTATTTTTTAATTCTATACCATTTGTCATATAAAATGATTTGAAAACAATTCTAGTCAAACATCGTAAACCGAAACATGCATTATAAAATTGGACGGAGGGAGTAAATAGCTTTGGTTTTGCAAATGCTTTCAAAACTTAGTCGTTGTTCTTCATGATTTTGATATTCGTATGTCAATGTCTCTCTATATTAAAATGCTTTTCAAAAAGTAAATATTTCTGGTTTTGCAAATGAGCACTAATGTCTCATCTCTTTTCTTCATTATTGTTTCTCTTTTTCTTCTTTTTTCCATAAATGTTTTAAAGTTATTTTTAAAACTATTTTTTATAATTTTTTAAAAAATAAAAAAATATATACTTCATTTATCTCAAAATTAAATATTTTCATTTTTTTAATATAAATGTTCTTATTTTTTTGAATCTATTGGACCAAAGGAATATAAAATAATATCTTTTTTTGGAGTGATGCACAACAAATTTTCTTTGTGACTGCATTTTATAAACATATGAGCCTCAATGTAAAAAAAAAGATAAATATAAAATAAGGAAAATATACAAAAAGGAATATGTTGGACATCAATTTAAATAGACCTACTCTTTATTTTTTTGGCCCAATGGATTTAAAAAAACTAAGAACTCCTTTAAATAAAAAATGAAAACGTTTAACTTAAGGTAAATGATGTATACGATAATTTTTTTTATTTCATTAATTTTTAATTTGAAACCCAAACTTTTAATTTTATGAAAACATTGATGAAAAAGAACTTATAAAACATCTATGAGAAAGAGAGAAAAACAATAAAGAAGAAAAAAGAGGTTGCGTCAAAATAAGAAGGGGCACGAGAGCTATTCACCTTAAGATTTGAAAGCGTGGGACTTATAATACACATTTACCAAACTATAGGGATATTGGAATATATCATGCGTGCAAGAACGACATATAAAAAAAATGCTGGTTACTATGAGTATATTTCAATTGCTTGTTTTAGGAGTATATTTTTTTCTTTTTTACTAATTTCTTTTTCTGCCATTTTTTGCCGTGAAGCTATTGAAAACGTCACTGATTACTTGATTGATTTTGTCATTTACAAAGTACTCCCTTCGCCCCCTAAGATCTTCTCGTTGTGGGTAAAAAATAAAGTAAGTGGGGATAGTTGTGGTATTTTAAATGTTAAAAAAAGTAATGAGAAGATCTATGTGCGACAAATAAAAAGGGCTAATGAGAAGATCTATGGGGGACGGAGAGATTATTGTTTAGCTTATGGATGCAATGTTAATTATTCAAAAGAGAAAAAGACCTGGGGAGTAAAACACGATGAAAGAACAAAAATTGCTTCTTGCTTTGTTTTTTCTAGAAAATAGATACTCCCTCCCTCCAAATTTAAGTTATCTGTTTATTATTTACAGAGTTAAACTTTAAACACGTCCTTTACCCTTTTGGGGTCACATTTAAAAAAATAAAATTATCTTGTTACCACCAATACTGCTCTTGTAGTCTCTTTTAGTTTTTCGCACGCCATAGTTGTTGGCCTAAATCTCATGATTGATGCTTTTACTAAGAGATAAACCGTGAGATTGATATTGTGAGAGTATGGCTGGACGAAGAACAAGGGACTCCAGGCGTAAGGCCACTAACTCATAGCAATCATCTGCTGCGACGAGGGTGCCTGAAGAGCAAAATGCCACTTAAACTAATGGGTTAGAGTCGGTCCTGAACAACATCGCCAAGATGATGGTTAACTTCATGGAAAGGCTTAAGCGAGCCCTCCCAGGACTCTCTAGAGTTCCTAAAAACCCGGCGGGGCATCCGCGATAGATCCTCCAAACGGCTAGGGGGCAGACCAACCCAATCCTTTAGAAGCTCCATACTTCTAAAGAGATCAAGAGAGAGGGAAGCCATTAGGAGGCGCTTGTAGGCCGAGTTGGCCCAGAACAATCGGGAAAACAAGAGACAACCCCGGACGATAGGCTGAGAGCCGACTAGGATTCCGGCAACCAGCAAGCCGCACAATGCGAAGATTGGGAACCCAAGATGCACAATGTTCGAGCGGATGTCCCGAGGGCGGGTCCTGGTTAGTGAAAGATTGGGAAGGAACTCGGGAAAGGCACCCATGGGCTGGAACGACCCAAGCTTAGCCGGGTGGAATCATCCCACTGAGAATAGCATAGATGTCGGGTGGAGGATGAGGCGCGGAGCCTGTTGAGGGTTCTGACTTCTGACAGCCCAGTGCTTCGGACAGCCGAACCCGAAGGAGATTTTCAGGATCTTTGGCGGCATATTCAAGAGATGCAGTGTAAGGTGAACCATAGACGGGTAGTTACGACCCGTATCAATACTCCCCTCGCCTCGAAATATTTGCGGAACCCTACCCTAAAGGATTCAAGGTTCCCTTCATCAAGCGGTACGACGGGAAATCGGATCCCCAAGAGCACGTAAATATTATGTGTTGGTGATGATTGCCGTAGATGCCACGGATGCATTGATGTGTTGCTTTTTTCAAACCATAGACAGTAAGGTAGCGGATTGGGTGAATCATAAAAGAATGGACAATCAGAGCCAGACATAAAAAAAGAAAAGAAAATGATTTTTTTTCATTTTGCTCACCAAAATGGCAGAAATTTGGTTTTTCCTCCACTTAATATATTTTGTCTTCATATTTTCTTTTCCTTTTTTTCTTTTATAACCAAATAAGAAAAACTATTTTCAGCTTCATTTTCATTTCTTTTCCCTTTTAAATTTTGTAAACCAAACATAGATGAATTTTGAATTTCCATAGGTATATTTCAAAGAAAGGAAAATAAAAATAAAAAAAATCAATTTTATTTCCAACCGAATTTAAGTTGTTTGTTCATTATTTACATGATCAAAATTTATGTATTTTCATTACTCATTCTCCATACTTATTTGATAGTATAATATAGTATGACCGTTATGAGGCTTGACCGATTTTATTTTCAATTTAATTTAATTGATTATAGGAGTAAAATTTTAAAATAAAATTTATATAGTAATAAACTACATGAAAAGTTCTACAAAATTAGAGGTGTCAAGACTATATTATTTTATGAAATGACTAGTAAAAATGAGCAAACAAAGTGATTAAAGTTTGACCCTGTGAATAGTATCTGGGAAAATCTATGCTGGACAGAGGGAGTATATATATAATTTTTAAATATATAAATTTTATTTTTAAATATCATACCAATTTTCACATAATTTAAATATATAAATTTTATTTTTAAATATATGAATTAAGAGAAAATTTAAATGGAAATGGAGAGACTACGACTATTCATACGAAAGGTAGACAGAGCACTTTTTGTCTATGTTTTCCATAATTCGTCAAAATGTCTCTTTTTTTAATGTTAAAAGATTGCGGGCCGATTCATTCTTTCATCAGATTCTTGTCTAGTTCTATTCAATCACTGTGTTACTCTGCATTCTTTTATTTTCTGGGGTGGTAACTGGGAAAGAAAGCTTCGGCATTTCAATTCATGGATCCCAAATTGGAGGATGCGCATTCTATAACAGTCAATCTCTTGGATGGCCATGAAAAACAACACCGAAATGAAGCCATTCACCGCCCCGTTCCCGGGACGACATCCTTTTCCAAGACCTGTTTCAATGGCATCAATGCATTGTCAGGTACTTTCCTTCTTCATTCAACAATTTCACAGCTCCAGTCTCTAGGGTTTATGTCTTTGATTTTATCACCCTTCCTTTTCCTCAATTTGTTTTTGTTGTTTTCTAGGATTATCTGTTTTTTAAGGAATAATAATGTTCCAATGGAGGGGCATGATTTTCTAGGGTGGCAACACAAATTGATCAATATGATGTCTCCGAGATGTTTTTGGGAGTGGCATTAATTGGATTTCTGTATTTCCATGTTTAGTTTTCTTGTACAACAACTTACCCAGTAAAGTCTTGCAAGTGTTTGTGAGATAAAAGAAGAACTGGCAAAACTAATTAACAATTGTGTGGTTCTTTCTGATTGTAATGCATCAGGAGTTGGGATTTTGTCTGTACCATATGCATTGGCATCTGGAGGATGGCTGAGTTTGTTGTTTCTGTTGGTTATCGCCGCGGCAGCCTTTTATGCAGCCGTTCTGATCCAGAGGTGCATGGACTTGGATCCAAACATAAGGAGCTACCCCGACATTGGCGAGCGTGCATTTGGAAGCGCAGGGAGAACATTGGTGTCCGTTTTAATGAACATGGAGCTTTTCATGGTTGCCACCGGTTTCTTGATCCTAGAAGGAGACAATCTTGAAAACATCTTTCCAGATTTCAAGGTAGAACTCGCGGGGATCGTTGTTGGTGGGAAACTGAGCTTTGTTGTTCTGGTTGGGCTCGTCGTTTTGCCCACAGTTCTGCTGAACAACATGAGCATCCTGTCTTACATATCTGCTAGTGGAGTGATCGCTTCGGTCACACTTCTTGGGGCCATGTTGTGGGCCAGTGCAACCGATGGAATTGGTATTC